GTGTGTTGCACAAGGAGTGACAACTGCTACTGACAGACACACGCGGATATTTTATGTTCTGGCAAGTATGGGCGTCTCGTTAGTCTTTGCTGAGAGAAAAGAGTGTGTGTACAAAGGGATTCATTAAGATACATCCTTTTGTCTGTTTGTCCGAAGCTGGTTTTATATATCATACATCAAATAATTTGTCGAGTAATCAAATACCTTTAATAATTTAAATGAATGAAAATAAACAAATCAAAACCCCCACAGAAGAAAAAAAAACTATCAAGTTCCCCTTCTCTCTCATTCCATAGTCTCCCGAGGAATTCGCTGGACGCTGAAAGGCAAACAGAACGTCCAGTGTTTACGCCCTAAGGTTTACCAACACAGTTCAGGTGTGACGCCGTGACAGGTGTAGAAGCAACGGGGTTTGGTGCGTGATCGATCAGCCCTGCCGGAGACGGACAAGCGAGGGCCAGATTTGCCTCCTTTGTTTTACAGCTTCGGCAACAGAAATCATTTGCATAATTTGACGCTGGATGATGATGCATCACGAAGTGGTGGTGAGAGATGAGCATAACTAAAAGCGATCTCTGCAAGGGACAAAGAAGAAGAAGAAGGAAAGAAAGAGAGAGAGAGATTACAATAATAATAAACAAAGAATGGTGACGCCATGTCTCCTTCATGACAATGAGAGGTCATTGCTACATCGAGGTCTCTTAATTAGAAGGAAATCGCTTCATAGACGGCAACAGATAATCATCAAGGTGTGTCTATGGCGGAGATTACACCTTTCGACATTTTTTTTTGTTACGACTTTCAATTAATTTCTTTCAGCGAGAAATACATAAACACACGCGACTGACAAAATGTTTTTAAAAATTAATAAAGTCGACACAAGAACAAAAGAACGACAAATGTAAATGGCTACAGATAATAATAATACATATCTCACGAACACGTAATTAGCAAAAATCACACTAAACTCCACATGCATAAAGAACCAAGCGTCGAGAATATAACCAAACATAATTACTTCAACAAAAAATCAAAAACAAAAACAAAAACAAAAAAAAATCGTGACAGTAAGAACCTCGTGTCCTTTCACTTTATCTTCTCACACATCAACCTTGACGACGGCCGCTCATCCTGGTAATTACGGCCAGGTATTGTCACCTCACGTCTGCGCGCGCGTGGCGGGGTACTGGCATTTTATGGGGGGTGGGGGGGTGCTGTTGTTATTGTTGTTCTCTCTGTATATCTGTCTATCTATCTTTATATATATGAATTATCTATCTATCTATTCATCTCTCTCTCTCTATTTTTCCTCCCTTCCTACTTCCATATATCTCTCCTTCTTCCTC